CAATAGGGACATCCAGAACATCAGCAGCCAATCGTGCAGCATTGAGGACCTTCACAAATTGTTGTGTGGGTACTAACACTTTTCCTCCCATGTGACCACATTTCTTTTCCGAAGCCAACTGGTCTTCAAAATGAACAGCAGCTGCACCTGCTGCAATCTAGTCAGGAAAGAAGCCATTAAACATCAGCATTAACACCAAAATTCTACTTAAGCCCTTCACTCCCAAGATCTTAGCAGCAATTCTCTGTACTATTTATCATACATTTCCTATGACATTAGTTCTGAGAATTTGATATTGAATCAACTCACAAGTACCTGGAGAAGAGCTTAAAGTGACCTCTGATGAATTGCTATATTCCCTTTCCAAATTTTCCTACATTCCCTTCAGAAACAGAGGGAGAAGTAAATGTTGAAATAGCAACAGCAAGTCTCTCAGGGCTTTATTTTGGAAAACTATTTCTCGCTTTTTTCTCCTGATGTATTTTGGTTTTTCATCAGTTTGAAAAAAAGTTTCCTTAACTACCACTGACCTTTTCAACAATGTGTTATCCATTTAGTACCTGGGGCCCTCGTGAAACCCTTGAGGTCATTTGTTGAAACAAAATTAACCTTTGTTTTATCAAAACAGCAATCTAATCCATCTCCAATCTAGCCTACATTTTATCCCAACATTAATATTTTCATGTCAAAATAGTTGACACAGAGAAAAATTATTTATATACTCATGATCTCCAAATTATCTTAGACTGTGGTGTGTCACATAAACAATAGCTCCAAGGTTAGCCTTCTTCTGACCTCTAGCTTATCAACTTTTTTGTTTTACTTCACAACAGAGGCCTTGAGTGGGCAGTGTGTTGAAACAGAAAGGAAAAATTGGAAATAACAATGGATAAAAACTATCTACAAGTTCTTAACATGCAAATCAGAAAATTACCATGGACTTGGTGAGTTCAAATGCATTCAATGGGCCTCCAAATCCAGCTTCACAATCAGCAACGATTGGCAAAAAGTAGTCAATGTGTTTGTCTGTGCCTTCCATGTGCGCAATCTGGTCTGCCCTGATAAACGCATTATTAATACGCTCTACAAGTTTTGGAGCAGAGTTTGCAGGATACAGGCTTTGATCAGGATAAGTCTGCCCAGCTAAATTGTTATCACCGGCAACTTGCCATCCACTTAGATAGATGGCTTTTAAACCGGCCTTGGCCATCTGAACGGCCTGTCCACCTGAAATCACAAGCAGGTTTAAAATAAATACATGATAAGAAAGTATTATTCAAGCAAAAACAATAAACTATATGCTAATATGCTAACATATTCTCCGTTTGTCTCATTTTATTTTTTGATCTCGATTAAAAAAAAAAAAAAACGCTGGTGAAATGTTTTTCTTGAGGGATATCCGAATGTCAGTAAATTTTGCGTTAGAAAATTTTCCGGGTACATCAATTGACGTCGATGCCTTGATACGACGTAGAAACCAGATTGTCCTGCGTCATTCTCCTCCCATGAAGACGATCTTTGTACGCTACATAAGGAATATTGTTTCGCGGTTTAAGTGTTACGTTAGTTCTTGACTTTTAAACGGAAATCGAATAGAAAAATTGTCGAGTCACAATTCTCAATCGCTCATTCATGTCCGAGTCCAAAGTTCGCGTTCCGCCACATTTCCACGTCATTAAAATTTCTTGGGTTGACGTGGCCAAGAATAAGTCAGATCCGAATTTTTTTTGCGTCTCTTTTAACTAATATGACAAAAAGAAACTTTTAGGAGTGTAGATTCATATAGAAACGATTGGCAGCCAAGTGTCAGGCAAATTGCCCGCCACGTATTATATTCACCATATTTGTAAAATCCTTATCTACCATATTTGGGAAAAGAGTGTCTTGCACGTGGAGACAAAGTCTAACATTAAAATAGTTAGCTGAAAATGCTCTGTTTCACATACAACTTCGTACAGAACGGTTACTTACCCGTGAGAGCTCCTAAAGCATTCACGTAAGAATTCCCTCCGCGAGTCAAAAGTTCCCAGAGTTTCATGGCTCCTCGCTTCGACAAAGAGTAATCGATTTTGAACGAACCGCGAAGCTTTTCTACAGTCTCTGGGCTGTAGTTTCTCTTGATTCCTTGAAATCGCTGATGTTTGGAAAACATTGTGAGCAGGACGGTTGAAACTTAACACTGGGCTCTGATCAACTGGGATATCTTTACTTCAAGAGAAGCTTCTCCGTAAATTTACTAAGTGAGAATCTTGGCCAATTTTTCGAGCGTTTTGTAGTAAAATTATACATGAACTTTGATCGATTTTCTTACGGACGTCATCATTGGTAAAAAATTTCTCTATTGTCTCACTGGGGGATTTGATTGGTGGAGGCATAATGAGAGACGCCTCACGCTAGGATAAAAAGTCATGTGGGCATGACCAAACGGATTGTAAATTGCATAAGTATTTTCATACCTATCTTTCATAATTATCTTTCATACTTATCTTTCATACTTTCACTTCTGTATTTATGTTCAGAGTTACCTTTTTCAAGTCGTACGACAATTCTACATCGGAAAAGACAAAGATTCGCTGCCATGATCGCAGTCAATTTCGTGACTGTGTTTATCGTGGATCTGACGCAATATTACCAAGGATTGCAATTCTCGTGTTGCTAAGGACTATAAATATGAAACAACTCGCAAATCGATAGAAATCAATACGAATATTACATATAGTACCAGTATATAGTATTTTTACAGGCTTAAACGAAGAAAACAACGACATACCAGATGAAAATACTATGCGTTACTTACCCCCTTCCCCACCCCCTGACATAACTAGGAAAACCCACGGCACACCTCCTGATGTCCTTTGTCCCCGCCCCCCTGGTCACCCTACGTTGGACCTTGAACTGCGCGCTGAGGCTAATGGGATCTAAGGACGAGACGAGGGCGAGACATTATTCACGAAAAGTCTATTAGTGTGCTGTCCGGCCAAAAACTGGGTTTGAACGCGAGTTTTCTCCTTATCAGAACTCTTAATCCATCTGTAAGTATGAAAGACAGTTCAAATTTTTCCGCAATTGGAGGCATCTTAAACTTCTCCTCTATCACTTTGTTCCACGGGTCACAAACTGTCACGTGTCATCTAATTCGGCTGTGTAATTTTACTTGCATTTCATTCAGGTAAAATAGAACCTCAAACTTCTAACAAATTAATCAACTTATACACTTCTCCAGAGTAAAATGAGAAATTTAGGGAAGTTCTTATTATATTTACTTGAATAAACTTAACTTCAAGTCACTGAACGTCACGAAACGTAATAACGTACCCCCCTGATTGTAAACTACTTTTTTCTTTAATTGTTACTTTGGACCCATTGATTGCAAGGCAAAGTCGATCAGAGACAAATTCTGTCAGTCTCCTTCTCTCTTTCAGGCTGTAATCGTGAGTAGGCTATTTCAGCGAGATCATTCAGAAGATTTGTATGGGATATTGGTTGCCCAACCTCCTTACCTATTTAAAATATATTCAGACGTGACTCAAACATTTTGATTTATATTGCATCTGTGTTGTTTCTAATAAACAGATTTTGTTAAACAATAACAAGAATAATAAATAGCTTCCACAGCTGTGATCTTTGTCTCTTAAAACCCTCCCCTACTGTTAAAACAACACTAATCCAGTTCTCAGGGATGTCATGGGAAGGGGATATTCATTTTCTTGCTGAGGGTTGCAAATCATGGAAGATCACAGGTTTTCTTAGGTATTTGTTCTTTCGAAATCAGCTATTCTAGAAATTCTCCTTCTTGAACAGGAAAATAAACAGAGGATGGCTTACTTGTTGGAAAGTTTCCTGTGAAGAAGGTTATGCTTAGCATCTTGTTCTAAAGACTGATTGATGGTGTTTTTTCATTATAGGTTCCTGAAAACAAAGCCATGTGGTGTCCAAAGGGTGAGTTTATCTTGTCATATAAAGTACAGGAGGATATTGAAATATTTACTGATTGGATCTTGGGAGTTTGAGGGATAGGTGCTTGTTTTATTGTTGTTTGTCTGTTTAACCCATTAACTCCCAAGATCTCCTCAGTAATTCTTCTAACTGTCTGCCATTCAGTTCTTGTGAGGTTAGTTTGGAGAATTTGGTATTGGATCAACTTATAATCCCTAATTGATATTTTTCTTTATTCTCATCACTTGTCTGCTTGATATTGTACTGATACTGTAAGGAGAAATTCTTTCTTGGTCACTTATGGGAGTAAAAGGGTTAAGAGAAAAGGAAATAGAAGTTAAAAATAGTAACTTTGTTTATGACTTGATTTTGATAAAGAAATTTATGCGAATCAACACGTACATTTTATTGGCATTATATTTGCATTGGGTTAACCGAGGCAAACAACAAAATTTTATAAGAGGACTTTTCATATGTTTATCCAAGGATAAGAGCAAAAAGTTTACTTAATTCTGCCTTTGAAATCATTTAATCTCTTTTTACTCTCCCTAACTAGGTGTTGAAATAACTGGTGAAATCAAGCCAGAATACAGTGAAATTCTATCACATGAAGCCCTGGAGTTTCTTGCTGATTTGCATCGCAGTTTTAACTACCAGAGGAAAAAGCTGCTAAGAAAACGACAGGAAATCCAAGCAGAAATAAACAGTGGGAAGCAAATTAAATATCCTGAAGCTCACCATGAGAAGGATTGGAAAGTGGCACCTGTCCCACATGATCTGCAGATGCGACATGTGGAGATCACAGGACCAACAGACTGTAAGATGGTAATTAATGCCCTGAACAGTGGGGCAGACATGTACATGGCTGATTTTGAAGACTCACTGACTCCCTCCTGGAAAAATATTGTTGAAGGACAAATAAACCTCTTAAATGCAAACAGGGGGACCATTAATTTCATCAATGCAGATGGTAGGTTTGACTGCATATTTACTTAACCCCCTAGAGTGACTGGCTTCATATTTTTTCTTATGGTATTAACCTTAAATCAAAAGGTCATGAGAAAAGTGGAAATGATCACCATTTTTCACAGCACTTGGCCAGTAGAAAGGCCTACAACAATGCACTTAAATCATTTCTACAATCATTATTGCTGCCTCAATTAACAGATGCTTTTATTTCTATTATCAAACTGTTAGGATCAGAGCGACGTTTGAAGGACAAAACAGCCTGCTTGTTGGTTCGCACCCGTGGCTTGCACCTAGATGAGAAACACATCCTTTGTGATGGAGAACCCATGAGTGGTGCACTGGTAGATTTTGGACTTTACTTTTTTCATAACGTCCACATTAGGCTTGCCAATGGCTCTGCTCCATACTATTATCTTCCTAAAATGGAGACTCATTTGGAAACAAGGCTTTGGAATGACGTGTTTAAATCTGCTCAGGATTACATGAAAGTTCCTCAAGGTTAGACCTGGTAGCTAACTCTCCTAATTGTAGACAACTTTTTTCTTTGTTGAATTGTACAGAGAGTTTTGGTTATGATCAGCTAGACAGAGAAATACCAATCAAGAATTAATCAGCCAAGGAGGATCAAAGGTCTTGAAAGATAGGGAAGATTTTTTATGAATTGCTATTAATGTAATGGGGAAAATTTTTTCAAAGATTTTAGTAATGTACAAACTGCAATGTAACTGCTGTCATTTTTCAGTGATAGAGTTTGTGTCACAGACAACTAACTGAATCTATGATATTCTTTCCTGTTCACCAGGAACCATACGAGCAACTGTTATGTTAGAGACTCTGCTAGCAGGAGTGAACATGGAAGAAATGCTTTATGAGATAAGAGAGCACTGCTGTGCCATGAATGCTGGAAGGTGGGACTACATTTTTTCAGCAATTAAAAGATTCTCCAGAAAACCTGATTGTGTACTACCAGATCGTAAGCAGGTAAAACATACAAAAAATCAAACTTGCATTGTATACAGTAGATATGACGGAATATATGTTTTGCAAGGGTTTTTATTTTTTAAGAAAACAGTAAATAAGTGTTACTTCAATTGATTATGTAGACATGCTCAGTTGGGAGTAGATTTCAGGTCACGATGATTTTATTCTAGATTGATTTGCATTCTTCCCTGTTTGAGTTACATCTATCAGAATTAGTCATTATTTTAAACTATGATGTTTACATCTTGTTAAGCTTTCTGTTAGTGTTGATGTCCTCATGGTCAAACACCCCCACGCCCCACTCCCCAAAAAGTCAATTACACCTGCGTCTTTCTTGCAACAAGTATTAGAGGTTCACCAGAATTGCGATTTAGATAATTTCTTTAAGAGTTTTGCACAAAGTTCTTACAAGAGGTAATTAGCCCTTTCATTCAAGATCTCATCATTACTTCTCCTTGCTGTCTGTGGTACAATTCTTATGATGTTAGTTCAGATATTGGTATTGGATCAACTGATAATCCCCAAATAATATTTTTCTTTATTCTCATCACTTGTCTGGTTAATGTTGCATTGATATTGTAAGGAGATATTTTTTCTTGGTCATTCATGAGAGTTGAATGGTAAAGCTTTAAGTCTAGCAAGTAGATGCACAATTGTTTTTGATTTGCAGATATCAATGACAGTACCATTCATGCGAGCATACACAGAACGTCTTGTTCAGGTGTGCCATCAGCGTGGAGCTCATGCCATGGGTGGAATGGCAGCTTTTATTCCAAGTAGAAGAGATGAAAATGTCAATAAGATGGCATTTGAAAAGGTCCGTCAGGATAAGGAACGGGAAGTGGCTGATGGATTTGATGGCACCTGGGTTGCACATCCTGACCTTGTGCCTTTTGCAAAGGGGATCTTTATGAAGGTGGGAATTGATTTGGAGTTTTGTTTTATAGCTGGAAAATTTGAAATCTCCTAAGTTTAAGTGAGAACTATTTATTTACCTGCAAGCTTTCTGTATGAGGGAACTGGTCATCGAGATGGTTCAATCACACCAGAGCATATTGATTCAAAAGGTGACACTTGACCCATTAACCTCATTGCTTAAAGAGGACTATCATTATGCACTTGAAACATCATCATCCACATCAGAACCAAAAGCATCATCAGACAAACAATACATAGGACTTAATTAGTGCAGCTTTTTGTGAGCTAGTCGACAAGATTATTTCCCAGAGATGTATCAAGTCTTAAAAGTTGGCAAAAGAGTAGTGATCATCTAAAAAACTTTGAGCTCTGCTCAGGCTGTAAAAAGTGTTCACAATATTTTATTTTGAATTTCCTTTCAAAAATATAATCTCCAGCACTAAATGCTTCCATGCCTAGGTAGTTTGTCCATTCTTTGACACTCAACTTTATAGCAAATTTTTTTTTGTTTGTAGGGCTTGCATGGTGCCTCCCATCAAAAACATCGCCTTCGAGAGGAAGTAAATGTCAAGGTTGAAGAGATCTTGTCAGTTTCTGTGCCAGGGGGAAAGATCACTGAGGAAGGAGTGCGAGTTAATATTGGTGTTGCTCTTCAGTATCTGAGCAGCTGGCTGTCGGTAATGTTTGTTGTTTCTCTTTTTTGGATTCTTTGACAGTCCCATATCCTTTATATACTTCTTTTTCTTCAAAACCCATTCAGCTAACTGTACATAAGCACAAATTTACTGGTATCTTTATTGATCTATAATTTTCACTTTTTGCATTTAAAAAGTACAATTTGAACAACTCTTGAGATGAATCAGCACTGACATAAAAGAAACCATAACCCTTTTAACCCCTTAAAGTGACTGTCATCTAATTTCTCCTAACAATATCACTCCTGATTCAAACATAAAGGTCACAAGAATATGTATTCTAAACAATCACCTTCTATGTATGACTGTTCAAATTAAGTGCTATCCAGAAAGTCTTGTTGTTAGTAGGGCTCATTTCTATCTTTCCTTTAACAGGGAATTGGAGCTGTTGCCATACACAATTTGATGGAAGATGCAGCCACCGCAGAAATTTCACGAGCACAACTATGGCAATGGTTGCGTCATGGTGTGCGACTTGAGGATGGACGCCCCCTCACCCCAGAGTTTTACAAAACTTTGCACAAAGAAGAGCTTGAGAAACTTGGAGGTCCATCCAAAAGCCGTTTGGCACAGGCATCTCACCTTTTGGATAAGTTGGTACTCTCTGAAGAGTTTGAAGAGTTTTTGACATTGCCAGCATATGAACTTCTTGACAACCCCTCAGCCAAGCTGTAGATTTTCAGTTATCAAGCTTTATCCTACAGCATGAATGTTATTAATTGCTGTATTGGGTTTAACATGGTGTATAGTTGTCCAGAAATTCACCAATGTCACTAACAACCATTGTCTGAGCTCTTGTAAGTGATAATTTTGTGGTTTTTGATGGACAAAATGTTGTCACCATGAGAAGTCTGTTGTTCTAGAAACTTGAGGCTGGTAAAGGTATTGGTTTTTGACTGAAAATTTGGATGTAATAATCAAGTTCAAAGATGATGTAGTGATAGTTTACCAATTAAAAAAAAGACTTTGCTTGGAAACCATTTTCATTTTTGAACACACTTTGCCCTTCACCCTCCCTTTCTCACTGTAAGATGTAACACCTACAACCATTATGGACACCTTTCAAAGATCTTTGGAATGCATAAGATACCTGTAACTCCTTAACCAAAAGATGACAAAATTTTGCACTGTCACATATAGACAACTTGCCTGTAGTACAGACTCAAACTTACTCAATGCAACTCAGAGAAAAGTGTATAAAATATCATAGAAATTTATTACAGAAGTTTCTTAAATATTTGTGGCAAATACAAATAATTCAGTACTGAAATGTCAACAATCCATAAATGTTATTTACAGGATTCAGTTTTCATGACCTCTATCTCAACTTTACTTTTCTTACACTCTCTCCTTACACTCATCTCCTTAATTAAAATCCTAACTTTTTTACAAATTATTTTACATATAAGGACATCATTATTATCTACCCATCTTCTAATCTGGGGAACATCATAATTGGAAAGTTACATGAGGATTTATTGAGCAACATTCAATATATAAATTGATCATATATTTGCAAAAGGATGAGTCATTACAGCATTGATGTTACTGAATAAACCATAGCAGTTATTTCAAACAAAATTGTACTGGAGACCAGTATTTTAAGGTTTCAAGAATACCCTTCTTTGGTATTACACTGTTTTTGTTATTGGCTAATTTTTATGAAAAATTAAAAAAAAAAGATTAAAATGAACTAATACAGGTTTGACAAAATGTAAAAATATTTTTGTTCTTTGTTGAAAGGAGCGGTTTCAAATATAGCTGATAATGGTTTTTTCAAAACAGACCTATTTTATTGCAATGTGTAACCCATGTTTACACTCAACGGTAATGACTAGAATCATTTAAAGAAACATTCTTGGATTTTGCTATGTTCCCACATTGGCTTGTTTCTAGCAAATTTCATTCAAACCTTTACAAGCCCTGTGAAAAACCATGTTAACCCTTTAAAATCAGTATGCATATTCTCCATACTGCTCTTTATACATTTCCTAAGGTGCTGATGGGGAGAATTTGTTAACCAATCAAAAGCTTTTGTTGGTGATCATTTCCTTTATTCTCATGACCTTAACATGTGATTCAGGGGTGATATTGTAGGGAGAGATTAGATGCTAGTCACTCTCATAGTTTAAAGGGTTAACCTTTAAACTCCCATGAGTGACCAAGACAAAAGTTTCTCCTTACAAGATCAAGCAGACGAGTGATGGGAAAAAAGGAAAAATATCAATTTGGGGATTATTAGTTGATCCAATTCTAAATTCTCTGAAGTAACATCATAAGAATTGTATGACAGGCAGTAGGAGAATTACTCATGGGATCTTGGGAGTGAAAGGTTAAACAGATAAATGGGAAAGAAGATAAAGTAGGGGATATGAAGGGAAAAGATTTTACTATTGGGCATAAAAGTGATGTTCCTTCAGAAAAAATTGAATGTGATTCTTGCCATAAGAATAGCTATGCAGTTTGAAATCTTTCATCAATCATATTTTGTTTTTAGTATTAATAAATGTGTCCTTCAAAAGTTCAGGTTCCTCTACTTTGACAAACACAATGTCTTCATCTGTTCCATAACTGCATCGTGCTGATTCAAACATGTCATATCTTGCACAGCAAAGAACTTCGTTAAATGATGGATTCTTGTAATACACATATCTCTTATCTGCATCAAATCCACATAATACTATGTAATGGCCACAATAGTCACTCTGATTTGACGCACATATACAGGATGTGAGCATCCTTAGTTTATTTGGAGAAAATATTTCACACCAGTGGCAAATCAAAACGTTTGAGTTCACCAGAACAATGGCAACATAACCCTTCAGCAATCTTAAAATAATTTCTTCCAATGACACGCTCCTGAAATGAAATAGTAAAATTACAGATCAGCCAATTACAAGCATTTAAAAGTAGCTTTCATTATAATGCTCCATGTTACAATTACATATTATACTACCCATTGGTTACTTGTATTTGTATGATAAGATGAATCATAAGGCACTTTGTTTAGTTCTTACTAATGATCTATTGGAGGACAGACAGATGACTTCACCATGAACAAATTTTTATTTTGTTCTTATATAAAACAAATAGAATCCATGCGGCTGTGGGTCTGTACAGTAGGATCACAGATGTCAAAATAAGGTAAGAAAATCAGAGACACACTCAGCTGCACTTTGCGTGTCACTGTTTTGTTCTCAAAAATTTCGACGTCACCCATGATCTACTGATGAACAGACAAACAACAACATGGAATCTATTTGGTGATTACTGCAGGGATTAACAATATCGTTCAACTTAAATCTTATTGATTTGTCGTGTTAGCTTATGTAATTGGTGATGTCTCACAATCATTCTTTTGAACCAAAAAAACAATTTGAGACTTAGTCTTTCCTTAAAAGTGTTTCATTATTAATTTCTACCTGCAATTGCTTTGATTTTTCATTTTACACCACTCAACTAAAATTTAGTGTGGAAATCAATCCCGCAATTTTAAAAGTAAACAAAAAAATTGATAATTCCGGAATTGTAAACATAGAAATTATCTTCTAATGGATCAAACATGACCTCAAGAGTTTAGTAATAATTTTTAAGGTTCCAACTGTAAAACCTGAAAGTTAAAGGCCCATCAGTGTACGCAAAGATAAGGATGATATCGGGATTTACGCGGGTTTGTTTACAAAATGAACGTGTTCACCAGAAGGTCATATGAGTGATAACTGACGTTGATTGCATCACGTACAAAGTGTACAGGCAAAGGCGTCTCTCTCTCTTCTTTTAATTAATGTTTTCAGCAGGAATATGTCACCATCAGCGAAGAAACTGAATATACGAATTAAATCATTTGGGCTGGAATATACAAGAGCCATTAAGAGTTCATATTGCGTCAATAGACGTCAAACGGGTTGAGGGGCAAACTAACTAATTTATGCTACGTCATGCATGTCACGCAAATAACAATTTTGTTTCGTTAAATAAAATTACTATTAAGCTTAGGCCAAAAACCATAGTGGAAAAATTTTGGAATTTTTTTTAATGACAACTTACCTTTTATCAACCTTTAATTCTAACTGTGGTGCGAGAGAGAACAGGCGATTTACTCTTGTTTCGTCCAAGGTGAAGGTTCCTTCGTAAAACGAGTTTTGCCCGTAACTTGGATCTACTCCCAGAGTTTTTGTGCAGAAAATGTAATCGACCCTGTACTCAGTGAAAATACTAGCAATGTCTATGGTCCAAACACTGCTTCCAAAATTCTTCTTCGCGCAAATTTCTTCGTATTCCGAGTTATCGAACTTATTTCCCAAAACCTTCTGTAAAACCATCAACGAACATGCCAATCCACAATCCCAGTCTGTTTTCTGTTTTACGTGAGGCAACTCGATCTGTAGACGAAACATTTGAGAGAAAAATATGAGCCCTTCCTTGCCTATGTGTGGTCTCCTTGTGATGTCCCTGCCTGTTTGTGAAATAGTACTACAGAGGAATAGAAACAAAACATATTTATCCGGAAGAGCGGGAAGCGCGTCAGCGAGTTGGTCCGGTTTGAACGTGATGTTTACGTACAAACATCCCAACCCCCAGCCCTACGGCAGAAAATATGCTACGAAGGAAAAGTCACGCAGGACGTCACGCGACTCACACACTAAGGGCTCATGTCTTGATGTAATGGACTCATACCTAAAAATTCTCTTTTCAGTTTATCAAATGATAAGCAAACTAAAGAGGAAATAGGTAACGAAACCTTAAGCAAGAATGGATATGGAGATATGGCTATTCCGATACTGTTGATCAAAATCATATATCCTTGAGCACAAGTGTACAGCCTAAATATAAGCTTCTGCCTTTAGCCATTCACTTTTTCAGCAAAGTTTATTCGTTTGGTTCAATAAAATTCTCAAAAAAGTCTTCCCAGGCTATTTTTTAAGAGACATTACAGGCATCTTAGGTTTAAACTGAAATATATGTATTCACAATTCCCCACTTTCACATCTTTCGTAGAACACTAAGCTTGCCGCTGTTGATTTCGCGTCTGGATTGTTGTACATACATCTTTGGACAAATAGATGTTCCCAAACTCTTACAAACTAAAAAAATGCCTATGCAAAAATTTTGAGCCAACAAAAATTTTAAATTGAAAGTTAATGTAAATGCATTTAATTTCCAATCTGCCTTTTTCTTATCTAACATAATAACCTTTGTTTGCTCCCCGAAGTTTCGCTAAAGGGGTGTTTTAAATTTCTCATAGGACAACTAAATGTTTCAAGATAAAATTACTACAATGCCTATCCAAAGTTTGGGATCCAAACACAGTGTGTGATCATAGAATTAAGGTCTTTGAAGTAAACTACACAGCCTATAACTGATAAGCACTAAGTTCAACATATTAGAAATATGTTAGAAACCGCTGGAAATTGCCAAATCTATTGATTGTTTTCCACAATTTTTTGTGGATCACAGTTAACTTGTTCAAAATTGCCCAAAACCAACGAGAAACTAATAAATTATACATACAAGTCGACAGCCGATATGCTTACTTTGAATTTTGTGCCTTTCCTCTTTCGTTGTCTCGAAATTTTGTACCCCGGCATTTTTAAACTCCAGCCTTCAGTTAAGGTCTCCCAAACTGTTATATCTTAAATTAGCACAATCAGACTTTGAATAAAGCATATCTTAGGACTCTGCCTCGATTAATCGACCAGATTGACATAAATGTATCGATTAGTTTAGGAAAGGTATTTTTTGTTCCTTTCACAGCTTCTCAGGCTTGGTCACTAAGCCTGATTCTCTCCCAATACTCCTCGGATTGTAACGTTTGCAAACGTTTGGAATAACGAGGCTGTGAATGCCAGCGAAGAACGTACTTCAATCCAATACATCTACGCGTTTTCACAACTTCATCTTCGCTGAAAAGCAGCCACAGGAAGAGGTTAATATTTATTTTAATCGAAGATGTCGATAGGAGTGCCAATTAAGATTCTGCACGAAGCAGAAGGACATGTTGTCACGCTCGAAACGATGACTGGTGAAGTATACAGAGGAAAGCTCGTCGAGGCTGAAGACAACATGAATTGCCAGATGTCAAACATCACGGTAACCGCAAGGGATGGACGAGTTTCACAGCTAGAACAGGTCTTTATTCGTGGAAGCAAGATTCGGTTTCTGATTCTTCCAGATATGTTGAAAAATGCTCCAATGTTCAAGAAAATGACACAGAAAGGCTCGGGAGGCAGCGGAGCGGCGGGAAGAGGAAAATCAGCTATATTGAGGGCACAAGGTACAGTATTACTGTTTATTTATTATATTATATCGATAAAGTAACAGCCTTTTCTATCAATTTTCTCCCTATAGAAGGCTGGAACTGTATAGCCTGGGCCATGCACAAAGGTGTCTGCCAATGTCTATTGTACCTTTGCGCATGCACCCAAGTTTTGAAGCTAAATATTTAAAGTAGGTTTCTGGCTTTCTGTGAGCAAATTAATTGGAGTTGTAAAGAGATTAACATAGGATCGGATGTGATTACAAGGTGCAAATACTTGTTGGAAATTGTTAGCAATGGGTGAATGAGCTTTTCACTACAGTGCTGCACCAGGGCTAGATATTTGAAGGATTGTGCTTGGAAACATGACTGCTCTATGCGTTTATAGGTTGCTGTTCCAACAGGAATTATGTTTGTGATTAATTGGCTACATCTAAATGCAAGTTGAATACTTCACATTTTGCCACATTTAGGATTGACTTGGTGTTAACCTTTTGAAGGGATGGAAACACTATTTTGGTCAAATTTAGGTCATGTTACCCCTGTGCAATGTTTCTGCAAGTCAAATCACCCTGTTACTTTGCCCCTAAATATAGTCATGTTGCCCCTAACAGAAATAAGACTTGTTTATATCTTATTAACACAGGATTGATTTCCATACACAAATAGTGCAGACTTCTTTTTGTTTCAGGATTCTTCACTTTGTGGTTGCCAAGAGAAATTTCTAAATGTTATGGATTACTCCCATTTCTAAGTGCATGTGTTGTTTTCTTTTTTCTACAGCTGCAGCAAGAGGAAGAGGAGCACCCACTCGAGGCGGCAGAGGAGGCAATGTTTTCCAGAGAAGAAGATAGCTTACTTCTTGGATTTTTTGTGAACCATTACAGAAAAGAAACAGCTGATTCTCTCTAGTGTGTAAATAGAACTTTTGTAAACAACTGGCATTAAGACATCTGTAAAGTTAAGTCCAAAATGAGCAATGGAAACACCTTTCCACCAAGACAGTGTTTGTACAGGACATCAGAACATTTCCACTAGAATAACGAACTGTATATTTTGGTTTTCTTAATGAACATTTTCTTATATCTTGGTCCCTTTTTGGTCAGATAATTATTTCATCTTTATTAAAATGGATTTGTAAGGCCAGCTTTTTAAAATCTCAGTCCAGAACATTATCTCCTTTCTGTAATTCTAGATTATTGTTTTGTTCATGGTAGTATATAAGGGCATTGACTTTGATTGATCAAACACAAGCCCAAAATAAAAAAGACCAAACATTTCAACAACCTGTCCTTCCTTCCAAACTTAAAAGCTTAACTGATATACATGTATGTGTGTGTGTGTATATATATATATATGTATGTATATGTATGTATGTATGTATGTGTATATATATATATATATATATATATATATATATATATATATATATATATATATATATATATATATATATATATATATATATTTGTAGATATGTGTTTGTATATGTGTGTGTATATATATCTGGAAGTTGGACAAATGAATAAGATGATAGACTATAAGGATAGACTGTAATCAAGAGTTACACACATTTAAATGTGGAGAGTGATATTTTTATTTGCATTGATCAGCCATTGTTATAACTCTGGTCAAAGTTTCTGACACTCGGTCCAAATGAGGCTCCTGCGTCAATCTAAAAATTATTTGCATTGTAATTATCAATTTGTGGAGAAGGTAATGAAATCTCCAACAATCTTTATTTTGTGTTAGGAAATGTTACCTATCTGATCATTTGATTGATAATTTAACAATAAGTACAAAGGGATTGGAGAGAGAAAACAGTAACATTTGATGTGACCCATTCCCCCTTGTTCTCGGTGCTGTTGTAGGGTAATCTATTATTGCAATACGGGTTTGGCCCGATTGTCAGCCGCTGATTGTGAAATGAGCCCACACTCTCCCTACCCTACACGAATTCTACTGCAAACACTTATAGGTATACTGAGTAAATGACAACAACTTTTAATTATTGTATACAGGTACCTCCATAGTTTCTTCGGTTTGTTAGTTACTAAGGAATGTAACAAAATGGTGGCGTTTTCTTCATGTGAAAAAGGCACGACACATGACGAGAAACTTTTAGAAGCAACCAATATTGAAACCTCAGTCTAGTATAACAATAGTAAAATCCTATGGGCTTAAAAGTGAAAAAATCGCCTAACAATTTTGTAATCGTTTCAAATTCGAAAACATCTACCACGCACTGCAAACAAAAAACTTTCAGACGTTTGGCGTGATTTAAATGTTAAGAACAATGATCTGTTTACTTTGAAAAATTATTAAATCGCTCTCACTTGAAGTGACCAGCTCGTTGCCGGGAAGTGTTTTCAAGTTTCAATCTAAAGTTGGGAATAGTTCTTACGACATATCGATGCAACTACAATGTTGCAGCGACTAGGGATTCTGATTTAAAGTCAAGTCAGTTTTTACTCTCAGGTAAGATATTATTTGTCTTCTGAGATTCTATTACGTCGGCGGACAAAACCTGGAGAATACTTGTTTATCAAAGATTTCTTAAATCCCAGACACCGACGAATTCGGTATATTACATAAACTTGTACAAAACACCCCTGAAATTTGTTAGTTTTCCATGTAACTGAACAAAATGGCAAGGTTAACATTAGAATTTACCCTTGCGCCGTGCAATCGATATTTATCAGAAAATATACCGTGAAGTAAGCGTGTATAATGTTTTTAAGTTGCACAAGTAGCTCCATAAAAGGTCTGTATTAGCTCCAACTCGTTAGAGATCAGTAATTTGTCGAACAAGGTTGTCATTCACAGAATTTCCGATTTTCCGTGCGGCACATTTGTCTTATAATTATTTACACCTTTTCCTCTTGAGCAATTTGGTTGTGCACGCAATTTATTTCTGATGAATCATAGGAATTCTTTCTATCTTTTTGACGTCTGAACTGAGTGAATCGCGTCCATAAATCTAGGACTCGCAAACGGCTGGAACCAAAAAACACTATCACCTTTACGATACATATCTATTATAAATGTACATCTGACTTTCATTTGGTCGCGTTGTCTCAAGAAATTTTGTTAACCAGGTTAGTCAGGGTTAGCTTGAATCACTCAGGGAACAAATTTTTTTCTTCTCCAAGTAAATTAAGATTTCCTGTAGTTCGTAATGTAGTTTTTATAGTTCCTTGTCAGTTTTTTTTTGTGCGTCACTGCATGCCTGAAATTCACTGCGCTTTTTGCACTAAACGGTATTAGCGAATAAGGAAGGAATAAGCTTAATGAACAGACCTGTTTAGAAATTAGGGTAATCTTTTAAGCTTAGTCAATTAGAAAATTTTTCTTGATTTTCACCTCTCTCTAGAAGCCATATGTTTAATGACCGGATATAGCTAATTATTGATTTTTAACTCGTGAATTGCGCGCATGCGCAAGAGCGAGTTATAGATATGATGTGGGGAATGGCATTCGCTCGCTCGCTCGATTGGTCGATTCCTGTAAACTTTTTTTAGATTTTAGGCTTTTGAGTGCATTTGATAGTTTTTGGCTAGCAATAAACAGACGAAATGGCGACCTTTGTTGCTAAGAATAGTGGTGGGGTGGTGGGGTGAAAAAGAAGCCAATGATAATCTTAAAAGAGTTTTTTTTTTCGT